TCTGCTATTTTGGGGTGTCTTGATAGTCGGAGCAGACCTTTTGCTGTTGAAGCTCTTGCTCTTGCTTTTGTTATGAATACAACAGGCCTTTAGATGTTGCCATTTCTCTCAGTGCTGTGTTGTTGAAAGCGTAAGTCGCTATGCCATGCCCCAAAGCAGAGGTTCCTTGTTTTTGTTGTGCAGTGTGTACTCAAGACCTCCAAGATTTTTTCGCCCTTATCCGAGAAGGCTAGGTGATAAATCTAACTTACCCTAAGATTAGGAGTGTGGCTGAAAGACAGCAGTAAAAAGGAGCCGGGAGTAGCCGTGGAAAGAGTCAGGGGTCAAGAGGAGGGGGTAAAAAAAAAGGGGGGGGGGTGCAGAAAGTGGAGATAAAAGTACAAGATGATCGAACATGATTAGAGAGCAGGAAAGGGGGCGAAAGGAGGAAATTTTAGAGAAGATTTTCCGTCGCTATCAGGTTTCGAACCCGAGACCAGTTGAATGAGAGGCAAACATTTTATCTCTAGACCACGGGAGCCCCCTGGTCAGACAATGTGGAGCAGAATCTGACAAGACAGACGAGAGCTGACGTCCAGGAGCTCCTGTTTCAATGCTGTTCAGGACCCAAGGCAGAAGCTACATATTCAATACTTATTTATTATTCTTTCACTGACAAGGGTCTTCTTTGAGAACGATTCCTTTCATGTTACAACCTTTGCACGTGGCTTCTGTAGCAGGACGCCTGAGGAGAGGATGACAATTGTTCCCCCAAAAGTAGCATCCGCTACCTTAGAATTTAAAAGTTGTATATCCGCCTTTTTGGCAGTTTTGAGTTACTAAGACCACGCAGTCAGAAAGCAATAAATGTTCTATCTGCTCTATCAAAATCGTAAGATTATTCGGAGTCGTTATCAAGATATTTTAAAAATTGCATTCGAAAAACCTTGACATGTGAAATTCAACATTTTTTAACGTGAAATTTGTCAAAACTTGGTACTGAGCAGATAGAGCTTTGCTATTTTAGGGCAACGATTTGCTGTTATCGTTTGTTGCCGCTGGCAATGTTTCCTTCACATCCTTGGATGGTGTAGCCGTTGCTCCACATAGGAAGGCAGATGGAGGTAATGCAAGATACCATTTTGAGTAAACAGAGGCCATTTTGAATGATCTGGCTTCATCATAATTGTGAGGCAGCGTGGTGGAATCAGGCTCTCGTCAAAATAATCAAAATGAAGAAACTTGCATTTTTTCCACAGGTTTGTGAATTTTTATTAAATTTGTGTGTTTTGGCTAAACACCTTTCATGCCCATTAAAGAACTCATTTCTGTGTTAATTTTTCTGAAAAACGTTGATTAAAGGTACTAAAAATGTAAATTTTTAGTTACCACGTACTCTAAAGCTAAGGAAATAAATAATCTTTGGCGGCCATTTTCTCTCTAATTTCATCTCTGGAAACAGGTGACCCCTACCTCCTTCTTTCGCAAATATCTCGACTTGTATTCAAGATAAATGGATATTTTTTCATCCAAATAAAGACAAGTGAACAAGCTTTAAGATGATACCAATAACTCCACATGCCCAAAAATTGACGAGAGCCTGATTCCACCACACTGCCTCACTCATACGCTGTTTGAAGATACAGCGTTTTCCTTTCACGAAGCCTTTGTCGAATATTATAAGAGAGTAGCTTACAGTTGAAAGCCTTTCTAATTGAGTTGTCTCCGTTCTCCTCAGCAGAAACTGGTTGAAGAACATGTATATAGAAAAAAGAAAACAATTACAATAACCACTTTATGAAAGAGATACTGCAAACATGCGGCACATAATCTTTTCACCAGACAATTACAGCCATTCAGTCTACAACATTTTCACCACATTTATAAAACACAGTCTAACTTTAGTGCAGTAAAAAATTCATATTTTTGTGAACACCTGTTCGCTGTATTCTAGAAAATTCCTTAATAAACACTGGTAAAAATCCCTGTGGGTGGTTTCTACAGTTCCTTTTAAAGGTTTACATCCCATGATCTGGGATAACAGCACCTTTAAAAGCAAGTTCGCCATTTCTTCTCGTTATGACACTTTGCTTATTAATCCCTTGACACTGACTCACTGACCAAAGAGAGTTGTGAGTAGGCCAGTATAAGTATATAAGTCATTAAGTGGAGCCATGAATTTTTGACTGCACTATAAAACTACATTAAATGTAAAAGTGACTTTTTTTTCATGATATTTAGTTCTCTTATGAATTTAAACACGAACGAGGACAAATATCTTAAAAACACGAAAGGCCCATTAACACATCATTGATTCCCTTCATTTTATTCAAATTCTTTGAATTGCACGAGCAAGGAGAAATGGAGAAAACATGCATCAGAGTCCTCACAGTCCATGCAATAAGGTAATGGTAAAACAATTTTGACAAACACAACAAAAACATGTAGATACATAATGTCCGGATGAAAAAAAACAAAAAAACTGAATATACAAAACAAAATGATTCATTGCATCTTGTGTAAGGTAAGATAAAATGGATTAAATAAATCAGTAAAACGCATGGCAAACAGTGCTAGTGCAGATAAAATGAAATAAATTTATAAAAAGTGGTTCCTAACATTTACTTCCGAATCCCCATTAACCCACCCGCAAGCAGAAATCAAATCAACCAAACTGTCGCATGCCTCCGACAGATCTGACAGTTTTACACTCACATCAACACTATCTAGATCAATTAGGAGGCTGGCTACTTTGACCCTTCCTGTCAAGGTCAACCTGAATTCAGTAGGATACATCTCTTTTTTTTATAGTAGAGGGTTTTACGGCGCTCGCAACTGCATAAGGTCATATGAGCGCCAAGGGGCGGGTGTCAACAGAGAAGTCCTTACAGGGAATCAGACTCTGCTCACCTCTCTAGCTCCAACAGCACAAGGTCTCCTTCGACTTCGACTATCAAGGCACCCCGGAAATAGCGGGTCACAAGAGTGACAAACATACAAAAGAAGTAGAGGAAAATGACAATAGTAAGGATTAGGAAAGAAAAAGCAGCAGTTCCCTGAAGCAGATCAGGCACAGTAATGAGCGTGACATGATGAGTCAGCCCATTTACAATTCTACTGTGCTTGAACGAGAAAGGCTCCACCCCCCCCCCCCTTTGGGAATGGCCTAAAGACACTACAGTCAGTGGCACTGCCCCGTGGGGGGGGGGAGTAGGATACATCTCTGCAGGCGGAAGGAAATACTCAATAAAATAACTTCTGGACTAAGGAATTGAACTCACGTCTGTTGCATGGAAGGATGAAGAGTCTAACTATTATCCCACAGACGCTAGTACTGGAACACTTTCCCAGTACGTCTTCAACAAACAAAATGAACATGATGTAAAAAATCAAGACGAGCAAGCATACCCCCCCCCCAAAAAAAAAACAACAACAACCAAAAAACAACTATTTGCCGGCCGATAAAAGGAAAGTTTCACACAACTTATAAACAGTCATTGGGATTATAAAATAGGACAGTAAAAGCAGACAGTTCTAAGCCATTCCTGAAAAAACCCAAAAATTGTAATCACCCTCTGCCAACACAGCAGGCCACACCCAACAATCTATTCTGCATGAAAAAGATCACGAGTAAGCTGTTTCAACGATACCAAACATTTCCAAGTAAGTCCCAAGCTCGGGATACAAGAGACAAAGTCAAAACTAGACCAACCGGCGTAACCATCATTATTGATCGGATAAAGTGGAATGACCCCTGCCATCAGCACTATCAAAGTGACGTAGAAAATCCGACTGTATCATGCTTTCTTTGTACACATCTGACAACTGCCAGTACCTGTACCACTACGAGGTTAACCAAATTGTCTCGTTTAAAAAAACATAACACCAACATTAAAAAAAAAAAGCATCACCTCAACAAGAATTTGCCAATATGGCATGATTTGCATAAGGTGTGGATTGTTATACCCAGAACATCACTGATGATCAATTGTTGCATCTCCGAGACGGGGAAGCCAGGAAAACAAAAATCTGCTATGTGTGTAAGAATGCATATAACTGTAGTAAGTTCAGAGAGACCATCATCACATCACACTGAGCACATTATGTACAATCTTGTATGTACCCACACAGGCCTGTGAATGTGTTTTCATTGTCTGTACAAAAGGTCAGAGAGATACAACTTCATGCAAGACTGAACTGACTAGATAAAAACATCTCAACATCATAACAACAGTCATAAATTATTATCACGAAAAGCTCAAGCAGAGACAAAATTTATGTGCAAACATCTCACCCAGGACTTGACTCAACAACAACAACAACAACCACATCAACAGCTTCCACATTTTCAACTACACTATATTTCGCAGCACACATATTCAGTTCAAACAAATAAATAACAGTTGCTCTTGCACTTTGTCAGGAATTCAGTCATCTCCCAGATCTGCACTAGACAACAAGACAAGTTAGACAATATATAGGTAAGACAAATTATCAAATGGGATTGGGTCCTAACACTCAGAGTGAGAGGGGTTCACGAGTACACATTCAGAAAAAAGTTGAGAAAAAAAAAAGTGGCCTGTAATTTGATGGTCACTGGGTGATGTGTCCTTGAGCAATACACACAAATCCTATCTGAGAAGGATAAGCACTGCCCCACCCTGACAACAAAAAGTGTACTCCATATTTTGAAGGTTGTTATTATGTTACATCTATGTTACATCAACTGTTATGCATGCCATTATTCTTTTTAAATCTCTCAATAGGGATCTGTACAATTATCTTCTCTTGTTCCTTTTCTCTTCATCACAAAATCTAGTCCTTAAATAACAAGTAACTGTGCGCACACGAGAAATCACACTGGTCAAAGCATAATATTAAATATCATATAAAAAACAAACAAACCCAACCCAAACAAAATATTTCAAAAAGTGCAACATCACTGGACCCCCTGTTCTGCTGTCTGACTATGAGCTTTGTATGATCTAGTACTTAGTAAGGCATAACACTCATCAAAACACTGTACAAAGCATAGACAGCCAGCCCACTGCTGTCTTTCAGCCTCACCCCTAATCTAAGGGTAGGTAAGATTGAACACCTAGCCTTCTCGGATAAGGGCGGAAAATCTTGGAGGACCCGTGTTCAAGTTGCGCATGCTAAAGATCCCTTACTGGTTATAAAATCGATAAGAGCAGGCTTTGGGCGCCATCAGAGCAAAATTCAAAACTAAATCCTACCCACCTGAAAGTGTTTAAAATGTATCGCACGCTTGTATGACCTTAAGCAGTTGCGGGTACTACTGTAATACACTTCAACCAAAAAAAAAAAAAAAAAAAAAAAAAAAAGGTTATCCAGCCCTGTTGCTTTGTCTCCGGCTGCGGTGTGTGGCTGTCCAGTCCAACTAGACACAATGTAGGTAAGTCCTTACAAAAGACGATCACTGACACTGATGAGTATCGCAGACTCGTTGGGCATGGTATGGTATGATACAGGTTCAAGACCCCTTCAACACTGTGAGGTTATGAAAGAGGTGAGGCCGCCAAATTCAAAGACCATCTGTCTTTTTGTGTCTGTAAAGAGAAGCACATAGACACAATAATTTAGGTCATCTAGTGCCGAGAAGAAGTAAGACAGACAGACAGAAACAACAGAGGGGAAGTAAAGAAGTAGGACCTAGCAGTGGTGCCCTCCAACCACCCGTGTTGTGTCCATCTCTGATACAACTCAGCTACACAAACCGGTGGAGAGCCTTGAAAAAACTCGCCGAGACCTTCATCCTTCAAAATAACCCCACAAAGGATTTGAACCAGGGCTAACAGCACTACAGTTGAACATGATACCAACTGAGCTAACTACACACCAAAGACAATACTACTTGGACATAACCCACTAGGCACACACACCACGACAACCAACAAATTCCATCAGTTTTGGTGCTGTTGTCCTCTACATTGTAAAAAAAAAAAAATGGTATAAATGCTCAACAAGACGCACAATAGATCATTTCAAGGAATATTTGGTCCCCTTTCAGAACACCGGACTGAAAGGAAATATCCGAGGAAAGACAACTTACAATGATAATCCAGACCCTGCCCAGACTCAAACAACAGGCTTCCATGTGGCAAAACGAATTTGTACCCCAAGTCTCCACAGTAACCAGTCAGGTAGGGGGTCTAAGAGAAATATTGCATTTTAAAATTCAAACACTCCAAATCGATGAAGAAAAGAAAAGAAAGAAAGCAAAAAAAAAAAAAAAAAAGGGAGAAACAAAAAAGTAGATATATCTAGATCTAGCCATTTCAAAAGCAATCAAGACTTGGTGGAAATTCACACAGTTATGCCAGTCCATCATATACGACATGAGTTATTATAAAAACGAAAAAGAGATCACATGTTCTATCACAATATAGTGAGTACTTCATACACAGTAGGAAGCCACATATTATTTTTTCAAAGAAAAACAAATCTTAAAAAAAAAAAAAAAGCAGTGGATGAAGAGTTGGTGGGAACTGCCGTGTCACAAACAAAGCAAAACCAAAACAAAAATGATATCTATGTGGATAAAAACAACGATAAAGATGGCAGAAAAATCAACAACTTCTTAGGAGCAGTACCGAGTGCCGCAGCCCTGGAATGCCCACTCGGGCCATTAAACATTGCTGGAGATTTCTCCCAGTGTCCTTGTAACCGGAATGAGCTTCTTAGGTACAGTGTATGTGAGGCATTCTGACAAAATGAGTTACTTCTTGGATTTTAGCCCTATCGAAATAGATTCGTCAAATTTACATAATGAGTTTGAGTACTTTATCAGTATGAAATAATAAAAGACATGTTAAACTTGAAGAAAATGGCATCAGTTGAAAATCTACAAATTTTACGCTTGTGTTGATTTTCAACCGTTATCTCTCCATTCACTAATTATTGCGAGAAGTAACTCATTTCATCAGCACTCCTCACATTTGGATCCGATAAAATCTCAACACAAACATTTTGGGGGCTGGACAATGTCTGGTTTTTGCCCAAAAATATGACTCCCAAAAATCAAAGTTTTCACTTTCTGTCTGACCGACTGTAAACATTTCACACCCCCACCAACACAAACTGACATCATTAAAAAGCAGACCGCTTCAATCATGCGGCATACAGAGACACTCAAGAAAACAATTTCCCAATACAAGAATTCAGCTGGCCCCTTCAGCGTGCATTGTTGAAGAAGAGCTTAACGATTCCACCAAAAGTGGTCGGTCTCCACTCTTTACTTTTCTGACACTCCACGACAGCTTTTAAAGAGAAAAATGAAGCTACTCTTGCAGCCAACAGGGTCAGCTCTTTATTTTAGCTTTACTGCACTTGCAACACAAATAGGTCACATAAGTGTCAAAGATTTTACTAGAAGGAGAACTAAAGATGTAGGATAGGACAGAGAGAGCAAACCTAACCAGAGCACCCATCAACCACCCACAAGAAAGCCTTCAGGTCCAAAGTCGGAAATTATGACAACAGTTACAGTGTAGTACTTGTCACTGCACACATCACAGATAGGTACAACAGCACAAGAAGTTCTTCGCATGAACCTACCATAATCACATTACTGAACAACACAAACCAATCCCTTGCGCACAGAAAACAGTATGGCATTCACATTTCCTCCCAAAACAACATATCATTTGAACGTCATAAAACACATTGTAAGAAAGCTTTGTGCACAGTGCAGACTGACATGTGTGATAGATTAAAAACAAGTGAAAAATCCATCCTTTAAAAATGTCCATCACCAGTCCTGTAAGCAGCATGCACACTTTACACATTTGCCCTCTCATTCAAGAATATTCATAGACGTGTAAAATTCCTTGAACCAGAGCTTCTACTGTCAACACATGGGAGGGTCGGCATCACTACTCCAACAGTTGTGTGGCTGTGCCGTGCGCCATCATCATTGCCTTCTCACCCTGGATCTGGGTATAGGCCATGAACAAACACTTTCCCAGAGTGGCGTCGGTGGCCTAGTGGTTAGGTTCTCGGACTCGCAACCGTAAGGTCGTGGGTTCGAATCTCGTCCGGGGCCCGACGTTGTGTCCTTGGGAAAGGCACTTTACACGAATTTTCCTCACTTCACCCAGGTGGGAATGGGTACCCGGCTATAGACAGCGAAACATCTTGTCAGTTTGTTAGAGTTTGAGCGTTTAATCGGCTGCTTGCACTGTATGCCTCACGGGAAGCTGAGAATGTTTCGGAGTGTTCTATGGTCTGCTGGGGTAATAATATAGTGTAAAGCGCATAGAGCCTGCTGTTGAGCGGGGATATGCGCTATACAAATGCTATCTATTATTCTATTATTTCCCCCTTTCCCTATCCTGGGCCTGCCTCTTGATGTTATGTGATTCCATGTCTTCCTCTGTGCTGCCATGTGAACCAAGGCCCAGGACTATCTTAGCAACTCTAGTTCTGATTTAACACCAAACACTAGCTACTTTTTCACTGATGGCTATAAATAGATTTGTGGTAAATGTTTTATGCCCCCACTAATATAATTTAGAATATTTCAGAGACAGGCTGTTTCGAACCTGCCTGGAACGGAAATGCTAAACCCGAACTAAGCAGGATTACACACTGCCCCAGCAGACAATCAGAGACACTCGATAAAGTAACTTAGCCATGTGGGGATACAACTCACATCTTCTGCCTTCAAAGGGGAAGAGCAACATTATTACATCACAGATGACAGTACGTTTCCTCATCTCTTTCTATTTTATCTCTAGGTTCCAGTACAAACACAGCCACACACTCAAACAAAATGCCAATGTGAGTACATGTCCTCACATACTTCAGCCACAAGCCAAAGCAGCCATTCACAGAGAGCTGTCAACACTCCCCACAACTAACACTGATGAATGAGACAACACGAAACTTGAAATCTCGGAGAGCTCATTCATCAATATATATACCATTCCCCTACTGAACAACTATATTTACTTGTTATCTCAAAGCTGTCAATGATGACTGTCATAACAGAGCTACAATACGCCGTTAATAGCCAGGTTTGATAAAGAAGTAGGCCTGCAAGCATAACACTCACAACTGTGCACACTAACATAGTTCATGGGAATGGATGTCGTGAGGTAACGCTTTTGATTCCCCTTCCATGTTCTAGTGTCCAGAGTCTCCCATAGAAAGTAATGTGTAAATGAAATGAACCATGAACTAACAAGGCTCTGAGGAATTTCATCTAAAACATTTTCCACACTTTTTACTCCTGCCCTCTTACCCTTCAGTTTTTGCATTCCCAAACAGTTCCTTCTTTTATTCCTCTCCTGAATTGTTCCCTCATTCCCTTCATTTATTCATCTCTCAAATTGTTCCCTTTAGTTACTCGCCACATAACTGGTCCCATTTGTCCTCAAAACAACTTGGTCACCTTAATGGTTCTAAGAGACCAGCGGCCCATTTGTCCTCAGGACATCTTGACCATCACACTTCTCTAGCTCTGTGAGGGACCATCAATATTTCAATAACAACAAAAGTCATATCTCTGAGGCATGTAAAAACAAGAGTTAATGAGTGACGTCAAGTAAATCCGCACCTTGCTTATTAATCGATAGCCATCGCTTATTCGCAGACTTTACATCTAAAGTATTTTAACATCTATAGGACCGCTGACAAGAATACCAGCAAAGCCCAACCCCTTGCCCAGGGCAGCGGATGAGTATACAAGCGAGTGAAAAGAACTAGATCTAAACAAAGGCCTGTCGATGTTTCCTAAAACTTATTTATGATATCATTAACCCATTGATTAGTTCCATTTTGATATTTCGCTTCCGATTTCTGGCACTTAAATGTGGAACGCCATAAAATCAGTTAAATGCTTTGCCCCAACGGGAAGCTGATCAGCAATGGAAAGAACCATCCCTTCCCCCCACGGGACGCCGATAGGCGATGGTGTAATATAGCAACAAAAAATTTTAGAAACATATTTTAAACAGTGTTGGAAAGCTCACATTGTACAAGCGAATAAAAAGTAGTAGGCATACATTGAATAAAGAAGCTTGAAGCATGTATCCTGATTAGACTGCCACTGTTAATTAATGAATGATAGTTATGAAAATCAAGTGCAGACTTTACGCATTGATACTTCGTCCACAATTGCCACAGTCCTTATTAATTTTGCACGCTTAGTCTCAACCAATCCTGGAAAACTGTTCAGATGTAAAAGTTAGTCATGATATCGAAATAGAGTGTAATTATTTGCAAGAGTCCTGACCCTTTACCAGATCCCCATCATTTGTAAAATGGCAAGTCCCATTGGAAAGAATGTAGTGACACATGCTGGTTTGTTGAATCTAAACGTGACACCAGCATAGCGGGTGTAAACGCATGAACACCAGCTGCTTAGGGAGGGAAAACATGTTCTTTGTATAAAAGTACATTCTTACAGTTATTGTATTTGTATACATTGTGTTTTGTCCGTTTTGTTCAAGTGGTATCAATCAAAACACTGAGCAAACTTAAAAGCTGTTATTCTCTTTTCGTAGGGTTCCTGCTTTGCGTGACAAAAACTTAAATATCTTGAGAAACATGATGGATAAAACCTTATCATAAAAAGCGAAATGTTCAGGGAAAGCAGTAGAATAATAATTTGAAATAATCTCAAGTTCCATGTTTCGACCCATGTGACCAGTTTGCAGCTCCTCACACAAATATTTCAGGAAAGACAGTGTTTCACGGTGGACTCATACTCCCCTTCTTCTTCTTTTTACGAATACAACTAAGGGACAGATAAAACATCAGTTTGAGATTTTGTTTCCCGATTCATAATCCCAGTAATGCATGCATGGGCAGAGTGAGTTCCCCATATGACGGATTTTAGTTATAAAAGTATCATCCAATGTCTCCCATTCTCTTTTTTACCACGGTCAAATCAAATAGGCATCTCTACGTCCGAGAATCATCTTTATAAACTGCATCAGATTTCATTTACGTCCACCGTATACCTCAGAGATTGGCCGTGAGATCAAATCCTAGAGACATCCATGTTTTTCCCCTTTTTGTTCTTCCTCTGCCCTTTCCCCTTCCCTGGCTGCTGGCCTACGGCCGGCGGGGCCGAGGAAGGTTTGACCTCCGCACGCCCCTTGTTCTGGGCAGAAGAGCCCATGTCATTATCCGATCTTGACGTCGCAACTTCCTCTTCCCCCTGAATGCCAGGCAGATATTGGCCGTGGTTGCTATCCACCTCCAAGGCCGTCTCCCAAGCACAAGAATCGTGTCCTCTCTGCTCCCCCAGGCAGGGGTCGTTGCGCGTGGAGGAGGAAGTGACATCACCGCCCAGGCCACTGTCTGCCAGACTGGCTTCCGAGGCTGTGAGCGTGCCCTCCTTGTTCGCCCACAGTGGAGCAGACGTATTCCCAGGTGTGAGCGGCTCTGGAATGGGATCAAAGTCATTATTTGCTTCTGATGCGGACAGGGAACCATTTTTTGGTTCTTCTGTCACCCCAAAGGAGTCGACCATAACCGACATAGAGGAATTACTACATGAGGAAGGAGTGTCCCCAGTAATTGAGCTCATCATCCTCTGTCCTGCCTGGCCTTCATCCCCTTGCGACTCATCCCGTGGGACAGACCCCGCACTGTTCACCGACTTTGACACACCAGGGCAACATGTACCAGTGCCCATCATCACTTCCTGTTCCCCAGCACAGCTTTCAACCTCTCCGTGTCCGGCCCCAGACGTGAACTGTGACTCAGATGTCAGCGTGTCACAGGCAGATGTCACTGTCGACTGAAGTGTCTTGTCCACCGTCTCCTCTCCCATATTGGAAGTGGAGTATGGGGGGGCCGTGGTGGTGGGGGCGGGGTTCCTCCTTGGACTGACCGTGCTGACTGCTGAGGATTGGCTTTGCATTGTGGGGTCTTCTCTTCTTTTGGCAGACTTTTGCACCACTTGCGCGGCGGGCGGCGATGATGACGGCATTGAGCAAGAGGCAGCTGAAGGGGCTGTTGCCATCACCAAGTTGTCCGACACCACCGATGCCTGGGAGACTGGTACAGGTGGCACAGGGTGGTGGCTCGTCGTCGCTGCTGACACCACTGGCGACACTGTGACAGAAGATCCCGACGAGACGGTGCCACCGGAGGGAGAAGGAGAAGACGATGCGGCCGGCGAGACGCCTGTTTGGGGGGCAGTTGTCTGAGAAGAGCCACCGATGACGCCCGTGCTGTGAGGAGGGCTGGTCTGCTGCTGCTGCTGTTGCTGCTGCACAGGGGCGGGCGGGGAGGAGCTGGAGGGCTTGACCGAGGCCCCGGCCGACTGACGGATGATGAGTTCAGGCCCTCCGCCATAGATGCGGTGCAGAAAAAGCCACATATCCCGCGACAGCTGTCCGTGGTCCGAGGTGGCCCTCAGCGTGGCCTGGCCGTTCTTGTACACGATGATGCGACTGTTCTCCACAGGGCCAGGGGGAGCTGTAAAAAAGACAGTAAGCCAGTTCAGTTTGGCTGGCGGTTTTTCTAACACTCCACGTTAACAAAAATAAATGGCAAAAATTAGATACTCCATAGAAACACACTAGCTACAGAGATGTTCATAGTGATTTTACAAAACAACTGAAAGTGGGTAAAGCTTATAAGTGCAGATAGTGTTCTAGGCTGGCTACTCTGACCCTGCCAGAGTGGGAATTGACAGCCTACCAAACAGATGAGGACACAAACACTCAAACACACATACCCAGGGTAAAACAGAAGACATCCCCACCCTCCCCTGGCTCATTCGGGAACTAAACAAATGTCTTCTTAACCCTTTCATGACCTATAAGACATTCGCCACTCGTCATGATTTCTTATACAGCAAAGGAGCCAAGATGCTGTTGTGATTCAAGCCGAATTGCGAGGTTGTATCTTGCAAACTGCTTCTACGAGATGGATTTCGCAAAAGTAATCCTTAAATCACATTTAGCAGTACGTGATCCGTACAAGGAAATCTTTTTCCTGTTGAGATAGTCGTATTTACAAATTGGATCTAATTACAGGTAACTGATCACTGAATCTCGGGAAACTTTTTGTCCCTGGGGATCCAAAACTGTGCCTGGTAAAGCAGGAACTGACCCTTTGTTTGTTTTTGTTTTTGTAAAGTGTTTTACGGTGCTCGCAACTGCATAAGGTCATACGAGCGCGCGGGATACACCTAATATTTTCAGTTGGTAGGAAATTTTTGAATTTTGCCCGGGTGGCGGCTGAAGCCTACTCTTATCGATTTTAGACCACCAAGGGATCTTTAACGTGCGCAACTTGCACACGGGCCCTCCGAGATTTTTCGCCCTTGTCCGAGAAGGCTAGGTGTATATGTAGATCTTTCCTACCAGAAGACCAGTGGTGTGGATGAAAGACAGCAGTAAGAAGGAGCCAAGGAGTAGTAGTTGAAAGGCTGCAGAAAGAATCAGGAGCCCAGAGGAAGGGGCAAAGGAGGTGAGGGGGTGGGGGCAGAAAGAGGAGACGAAAGCAGACGACAGAACATTGCTAGAGAGCAGGAAATGAGGTGAAAGGAGACAAATTCTAGAGAAGAAAATTTTTCGGTCGCTACCCGGATTCGAACCCGGGACCTTTTGAATGAGAGGCTAACACCTTAACCTCTAGGCCACGAGAGCCCCCGAACTGACCCTGAGTCACGACTGGGATCATATCAAGGTGAAACGCTGAACCATTATACCACAGGCCAGGAGGTGAAACGCTGAACCATTATACCACAGGCCAGGAGGTGAAACGCTGAACCATTATACCACAGGCCAGGAGGTGAAACGCTGAACCATTATACCACAGACCCTGGCCACAACGTGTAGGAGGGAGCTGAACCCAAAACAAATTACAAACAAATCAAACCCAGATCTTTTTTACCGTCGGTTTTCTCGCGCACAAATGCCTCCCACTCTTTGAACCAGGCCATACTGATGGCGTACACGGCGGCTGTGTGTTCCTCCTCCTGGAACTCTTCATTCAGCTGAAACAGAAACAAAAAAATATGCTGTTATAGTTTTCGTAAAGTGTTTTACGGCGCTTGCAAATGCACAGGTCATATGAGTGCGCGGGACACTCCTAATATTTTCAGTTGGTAGGAAATTTTGAATTTTGCCCGGGTGGCGGCCGAAGCCTACTCTTATCGATTTTAGACCACCAAGGGATCTTTAACGTGAGTAACTTGCACACGGGCCCTCCGAGATTTTTCGCCCTTCTCCGAGAAGGCTAGGTGTAGATCTTTCCTACCAGAAGATCAGGGGTGTGGCAGAAAGACAGCAGTAAGGAGGAGCCAAGGAGTAGGAGTAGAAAGGCTGCAGAAAGAGTCAGGAGCCCAGAGGAGGGGGCAAAGGAGGTGAGGGGGTGGGGGCAGAAAGTGGAAATGAAAGCAGACAACAGAACATTGCTAGAGAGCAGGAAAGGGGGTGAAAGGAGACAATTTTAGAGAAAAAATGTTTCTGTCGCTACCCGGATTCGAACCCGGGACCTTTGAATGAGAGGCCAACACCTTAACCTCTAGGCCATGAGAGCCCCCATGCTGTTATAGTGCAGGAAGAACAGTAAAGCACGTGAAACCCTTTATTTTTTTAGTAAAAAGAAGTACATCAACAGAGTAACTACCATTAAGAACAGGGAAAATGCAAGACAGGCAGACAGAAACAACAGTACGACAGAAAAATAAGAACGAGAACCAGGAACTTTCATGATCTAACATAGAGAAAATTTTCACTTTTGTACTTGATGTAAGGACACACTAGTAAGTATATCTGTCTGTTCATTTACCAGTCTTTCTCCTTCCCTATTTATCTATCTAAATGTGTGTGTGAGTGTGTGTGTGTGTGTGTGTGTGTGTGTGTGTGTGTGTGTGTGTGTGTGTGTACATAAGTTAATATAGAGAGACAGAGAGGGGAGGGTGGGGGAGAGATATGATGCCATGTATGTGCATTTTCAGTCACAGAAGGACACTCATGAAAATGCTGCTAATTTCTTTCAAAGGAGGATCAAAGAAGTATAAAAAGTATCTATCTAGAAGGCCAAACCTGTATGAAGGATTCCTTTTCCATTCTCTGTCTCTGCCTCAGCTTCTCCAGCTCACTATGGCAAGTCTTGCAGGCGTACAAATGGTTACAAACAGGACCTCCGCCAAACCTGAAGAGCCAAACAGCATTGGAGGAATGACAAACCTGCACATACAACAACAACAACAGGGTTTGGGATTGAGGCCATGAGAAACGTAAGGACAAGGAAAACAGAAATTGTCAATTACAGCTGGGAACAAAAAGAACCCCCCATCCCCCCCACGTGGACGCAGGGAGAGAACAGACAGAAGGGGCTCTCATGGCCTAGAGGTACAGTGTTCTCTTCTCATTCCAAAAGTCCCAGGTTCAAAACCTGACAGGGACAGAAAATTTTCTTCTCTAAAATGTTCTCCTTTCACCTCCTTTCCTGCTCTCGAACCATAGTCTGTCTGCTTTCCACTCTACTTTCTGCCCCCCCCCCCCCTTCCTCTGGACTCCTGACTTTTTCTGCAGCTTTTCTACTGCTACTCTTTGGTTCCTTCTTACTGTTGTCTTTCGGCCACACTCTTGATTCAACACCCAGCCTTCTCAGATAAGGGCGAAAAAATCTCAAAGGTTCCGTGTTCAAGTTGAGAATGTTAAAGATCCCTCAGTGGTCTAAAATCAATAAGAGGAGGATTTGGCCGCGCCTGAGCAAAGTTCAAAATTAATTCCAATGAAATTGAAAATGATTTATGTGTCCCGCACACATACAACCGTAAGCAATTACAACACTGTAAAACACTTACAAAAACAAAAAAAGACATAAAGCCCAATCGGTTTGTCTTTGGCTGTGGTGCGTGGCTGTCACGGTGGTTAGCAGTTGTGAGCGTCGAAAAACACACACACACAAAAACCCCCCCAAACAAAACAGACAGACAAACACAGACACACACCTGTTGTGCAGCAGCTCCCAGGTACTCTGGTGGATCTCCACCACGAGGTCATCTATCAGGCTCACCTTACCAGGAGGCACGCCTTAAAAATAGACCAAATAAAAAAAAACATAATTATGTGCACACTGTACTCAAACAGGACATTTAAAGCTTCTTATTTTTTTATAACATTTTGTACAAGCCCAACACCCTTCAAGACAAAAAATATGTCATTTTGGTTTTGAGTAGTTCAATTTTGCCAGAGTAAAGAGAAAGATGTATGAAAATTTTGTTTTATGAGTTTTTAAAAGAGTTGACAGTCCTATTAGACAATGATGGATAACTTTGAATGTAAATCATTTGCTATGGTGAAAAGCTGCAGAGAAGGAGAAAGGAAGGGAACGAAGAAGGCAGAAAGGATGCATCAATGCTAATGGACATGTGATGTCCACTGTCTAATAGGCTCCTACAGGAGCCAAAAAAATGTGCCACAGAGACTTTTGTATAGAGTACCCAGCACCAGCACACACACAAACATACCCACACACACACACAAGTCTTAAGTTCTCTCACCTCCATGCTTGCACAGGAAGTCAGAGTTGGTGATGGGTCCCGGCTCGGCAAATGTGTGGAACTTGCTGACCCATTGCTTGCTCAGGTAGAACCTCAGGATACTCACCTGTACACAGATGGAGACCACAACAGAAAATGTTTATTTAGACTCTTAGCACCATAAATAGGTCAGTAGGTCAGCACAGCTGAACCAAAATGGCTGCCAGCTGATGGCTTCCCAGAACTGAATTATTTCAGTGTTTTTCAGAGGTTCCGGTGGTGTAGCAAAGAAATTGCTTTTGCTTTTGATCTAAACGACGTGTTTCAATGAAATTTCACAAACAAAGATCAAGGACGTCAGCATCTAAATTTAGAAAGGAATGTTCTTATTTTAAGGGTGCACTAAAGGCTGGTGTGTCAGGCCGGTAAAAGCCAGTATGGCTCCACAGCGGGAAATCCGGTAAAAGCTGATTAGGCTCAAAAAGGGTTAAAGTTTTGTTTTCAAGTTCAGCAAAACTCAAATTTCAAAACACACTGGACTTTCATCACTTTATTTTCTTTTAAAGGGTCCTACTTGCTCAGGACTGAACATGTTCGATTTGAGGGGTGAACTACGGATGTATAGCACATGCTAAAGGCAATAATGAAAAATATTTAGAGTAAATGACTACTTTAGTTGATAAAACATATTGACACAATAACAGTCATTTAGAGCAGGGAAAAAGAAAGGTGAACAGACAGAAACAACTGAGGGAAAGAAAAGAAGTAGGTCCAACAAGAGTTGTTCTCCAACTGCCTGTTAGTTACTGACTACGATCGTCTTTCCTTGAAACTGTTCGCGTAAAAATATTGTTTGTTAAATCATCAGAAAAGAGCACACAGACATGATAATGGTTCCTTTATGCTTCGTACAAGCAAGACGGACATCATTATTTTTTTTTAAAACCCCCATTGACAGAATTAAGAAGCCTTAGGGGTGCCATATGCTGCTTTGAATGCACCCGCCAGGGTTAGCCCTGGGTGAGTGCAGTACAGCACACCAGCAGACAAATACAGACGTTCCATATAAAAACTTCTCCATCTGGAAATAGAAGTAATGTCTTCTGTGTGCAGCAGAGAAAAGCCACTCAATTACCCCACAGATGCCAGTAAGCACACTAACACTATAACAGCCATCTAACACAACATAAAACCAAAACAGACAGACAGACAGACACCCCCTCCCCCCCAGATCAAGAGCAACCAAGTGGGACCTGCTACTGGTAAACTGTAACACACAACACAGTGACTGTGCAAGCAAAGATCCAATACCATACCTATACATGGTATTGGATCTTTCGTGCGAGTCAACTACTAGACCCGGCATCCATATTTTGGGAAATAGCGTTCACAGATCCTGCTGATAAGAAGTCAAACCAGTGCTTCTGGCAAATGAGAAAAAGGCAGAGTAGGTTTTTCGAAAAATCCGGCACAAAAGACGAAACAACAACAACAAAAATCAGGATACAATCCATCAAAATTGGGAAAAACTAGATGCCCGATATTTGGGGGGAAAAATTGGGAAATCCTGATTAAATCGGGATGAGTAGCAGGTCAGCTGAACCAAATCCAACTTGTTTTCTATAATTATTCTTATTCTTTTTCGACACTTCTTGTCAACAAACATGGCCCACCATACACATGGATGCCCTTTCCAGAGCTTGACACTCACCTCACTGCTCTCCAGCTCCATGATGCGCTGACGGACACTCTCAATTTTTTTGTTGCTTTTCCTGAAAACAGAGGTCAGGATGGGTACTGATTAACTCTTTAAGGATGAAGGGGACACATATGTCCGACAACAGACCAAAGGACAAGTTGAGGCAAATTTTGAACGATCATACACACTTCAAAAACATATATTTGTATATTTCATAAAATGCATGCTGTTTCTGTCTTCTCTAGGTTTTACGTAAAGAAAGAAGAACTGAAAAACGTGAAAGAACAACAAAAAAATGCTTCTTTTTTATAGTGACCCTAAAAAGTGCATATGAAATGACCAAAGAGCGCGTCCTCAGTCAGTTAATCCACATGTGCTCACTAAATATTCATCTTTTTTTTTATTTCCCCTTTTTTTTCAATATTGTTTCTGAGAGTGTTTCCTGTATCCCTTTTTGTTTATTTAATTTTAAAATATCCAATGGCACTATTCATAGAGGGGGCTGGTAGCTTAAACACTGCCTGTCATGGCCAACTTACGCTGAGTGGGATACAGCATCACAGCAGATGGAGATATTCGATAAAAAGAAATAACTTCACCATGCAGAAATTACATCGTTCTCCAAGGAGACAAAATATTTCACTCTTATCTAAGGTGGGGACCAAGGGTATGAAAGCCTTTAAGGTATAAAAAAACAAAACAATTCCCCCCCCCCCTCCTCTAAATGAGGGACGTTACAACCACAGAGGAAACACCCAACAGTAACGTCCTCAAATGTCCTCTTACAGAAACACGCTCAAACAACACACACGCTTACACATGATTATCTGCTTTTAAAATCACTAACGAAAAAAACTCCCCCCCCCCCCCCCGAAAAAAAAACCATGAGAAGCAAGCAGCTCACTTCTGAGTCAAAATGAGCACCCCTCTTCCAGTTTACAGTGGACGGACTGACCTGTAGAAAAGCACGTAGGCCTCGCAGTTCTGCACCTGGCTGACGTCCACTTCAGTCACGTACTGGTCATCAAACTCGTACCATTGCTCGTTCAGATGGTTCAAACAGTACGCTGTGTAGTGGCCACCTGAGCACGTCACAAAACAAAGCATGTCACAACAAGTCACAGATTCATTGTGCGTTTTACGTTCGCAGCGACACATTTTTGACAATTTCCAAGGTGGGTTGCTTCCATTCTGCCCATCATGACCAGTTTGAGCTGAAGGGATATAGTATCTCAATAAACACAGACTGACACACCTGACAAAACAGACTTCCTAACACAAGAATCGAACTCACTTCTACTGGGTGAAACAGCAAAGAGCCGAAACATTACCCTACAGATGCTGATTCTTATTATTCATACAAAATACACACACATTGGTTAATATTATCCCATACATAATGTACATCCTGTGAGTAAATACAAATGTTTACATCCTGATAGAGTTTAAAATATAAATTTGTACATCCTGATTGATTTTATCTATTGCATGTTTCATAAAATAATACATATTCGATACTTTAGGAGGCAGGCTGTACATCCTATGAGTTAATGTCCATTTCCAACAGGACAGAACGAGAGCGTTGAAAGCTACCTAAAAAACCCAAGTTCCAGAACGTCTCCTCAAGAGTTTAACTTACGGTCATAGTAATCATAGCCCAGCGTGATATCCGGGGCAGCCCACCCACCAGCATATGTTTTAGTAAGCAGCAAATAAAAAATTAGTAATCTTTTTTAGTTTTAGTAAGAGTTTTACGACACTTGCAACACAATAAGGTCATATAAGTGGTGAAGATTAGACGTGTCACAAGAGAGTAACAAACACAAAAAAAAGGACAGATAAGGATGATAGATGTTTGATAAAAAAGAAGGAGCAAACCACACTAGAGCACCCGCAATTAGTAATCTGGCTTTAAAATATGTGATATGACCATGGACAGTTTTCTTTGTTGGGGTGTCAAGGATAAGGGTTGTAGTCAAGCAAGTATAAATGCAACATAAACAGAGGCGTGTTGAAAAAAAAGAGTTCTTGGCGTGCTCGTCATTGTCAAGTTAATAATAAAAAGGGAAAGAACATTTGGAACTACAGAAAAAGTCACAAACCTTTGATCCTGAATGTGCATCACCCACCAAAACTAATTGTAATGTTTCAAACAAGCATCCATCTTTTAAAAAAAATCTTCTCACGGCCTAGGCTGTCACCCACAACGCAAAACAGCAGGGCCTTTTTAATACCTTGCCAACATAATGTTTGCCTTACTCCTGGCTTCCGAACTTCCAGAGTCCAAGAGACCAATGTTTTTCTAAGGGAAAAGTGGCACTGAGTGACTACAAGTGCTCATATTTTCGTAAAATTTAATAAAAATCCTAACCATTCCGCAAAAGTCGTAACAATGGCCAGTTATAGATATCAACTGAGAAAACTGTGCACCCATCTAAAACAGACCATCCAATTTTGAAATATTAGTTCAGCTCCACTCACCTCCAGCTGTCCCATGATGGCAGATGATGGCAACAAGGTCATAGAGAGTCACTTCATTTTTACAGGCTGCAGAAGACAAACAAAATGGGATAATTAATATCGATCCCTAGTTTGACGAAATTGACATCAAGCTTTCATCAGCTAAAAGACACAAAGTATACACAAACAATATGATATCATATTAAGGTAGGTTGTGAAATTGTTCTGTATTGTTGAATATTGTGTATTTATGTACGCATATGTGTATGTATTTATGTGCGTATGCATTTCTAACTATGTATTTATGTATATACGCATGTTAGCCATCGTAACTCAAAGTGCCTTTCTGTGATCAATAAAAATGTTTTGTTTTTTTAAAATCTCAACTATCAAAGTCGTAAGATTATTCGCAGTCGTCATCAAGACACTCAAAGAATTGCATTCTAAAAAGCTTGACATGTTGAGAAACTAAAAATTTTTTTATTTCAAATTTCTCAAAACTAGGCACTGAACAAATAGAACTTTGTAATCCTGGAGTAGTGAGGTGTCAAACTCTAAACAGCTGACTATGCTCAGAATCAGTCTCATACCTTTATGCAAATAGGGCTCCATGTCGAGGCCTTCAAGTGGAAACGAGATGTAGGTGCTGATCTTGGACGAGTAAAACTCGTGACGGAAACGCTTCAAGTGGATGGATAGGATCTGGAAAGGAGCAATAACACCACATTTATAAACTTCATATCCAGTCCTTAGTTTTAGTTTTAGTAAGAGTTTTTCCGCACTTGCAACACGAAAAAAGTCATATGAGTGTTGGAGATTAGAGGCATTACAAGAGAGTAACAAAAACACACAAAAAATGAGAGATCGACAATAGATGTTTGACAGGGAAGAAGGAGCAAACCACAAAAGAGCACCCACCAACCACAACCATATATATATATCCAGTGCACCTGAGGCAGCCCTTTGAATTTTCGCCTGTCTTTGTGTCATTGTAATTGTAAGGATTCAATACTGCAAGTTACTCAAGAGGCAAGACCTCCCAATTTAACGTCTATCGCCAATAGGACTGAGCCAAGCATGCAGAAGCCTTAAAAATTCCTCACATAATGGAATTTCAAAAACAAAGGATAGGGAACTTGACCATCCTCTTTTTTTCCCCATTTATACCAAATGTTATTACTTCAGGCAGATTCAAATAGCAAAAAGTACAGAGGGACATAATTCTGGGAAAGTTGTCAACTATACAGGGAAGTGCAAGATGCAAAGTTGCCCCCCCCCCCCCCCCCCCAAAAAAGTGAGTCCCTCACGAATGCAACAACACTTGTATCACAAACCTTCGGCAGTGGTTGCAAAGGGGAAAGAATATCTATCAATGCCTGCTGCAGAGCTAATGGTTTGAAGTGAACCGCTGCAGAGCTAATGGTTTGAAGTGAACCAAAAAAATAATTCAAAGATGACTGCTACTTCTGCATTGTGCAACCAGTTGAAAAAAGACTTAAGGGAAATGGCAAAACTTATGTTGAATATCCTGATATTCCATCAGCCTGATACCAGTAGCACACAGCGACGATTTACCAACTCTAGTAGTATCAGAGACAATTTTAAAAATTTAATGGCACCTAGTGATTTTTCCCGATAAACATATTGAAAGAAGGCGACAAAGACGTCACTGAAGCTTCACCATCAAACAACCCTGATTTTCACTCAAAGTTTCTAGCAAGAACATCATGTAATATGATCACACAAAACCAATTGAATGACCTTCTCAAAGACTTAGAGCTGGCAAAACACAAGGCTGAAATGATAGGCTCGAGGCTCCAACAATAGCCTTGGGCTGAGAGTGGGCACATTTAGAAATTGAGACGAGGATTTCCCATCATTTTTTTTTACAATGAAGGGCAACCTGGCTGCTTGTACTGATGTGGGTGGTCTTATGAATGTGCTGCTTTGAGCAAAGAACATGGGGAGCATTTTCATCAAAACATCACAGCCATGGCAAAGCAACATTAGGGTAAACGGAGTATAAATATGTTAGCCATTCTTTAGTCCTTTTTCAATCTTTGTATTGTAAATCAGGAAAACCCATATATCTTGAAAACTAGAACTAAACGTCAAATCTTGCCACCATTTTCGTGTTCAGCGCACAAAAATGCATAGAAAACAGTGAGGTTAGAGCCCTGAAGCAGAAGCTTTCTGAAAATGTGTGGAGCAGTGCATCCAGTACCCTGAGGAAAGAGACAAATGATGACGACATAAGACTGAATGAACTCACCTCGGGTAACTCTAAGACCTTGGAATATTTCAGCCCATTGCGCAATCTGAAACATTAGACACAAACAAAGGTAAAATCAGTGACATCACAGTCAAGAATCAGACTGTCCACTGCTTAAAAATAAGAGGGAATTTTGTCCGACATTACTTAAGTCAAGCAATCAGACAGTTGCCAAAACGTTTAAATTTTTCCAGCAATAAGGCAAATATCAATTCAAGTTATTAGCTCAAAGTAAGAGAAAAAGAACCCCCCCCCCCGCCTAAAAAAAATCATCAAAGGGCAAAGTAATGGGATCATAATGATAAATGTTCATCAACACTATTTAGATCTCATTCTGAAGGAGGCAATACATACACCAGTCTATAAAGAGCAATAAATCAGGTTCAAGTCACCCAACACTTTTAATGGGGTAAATAGTTTAAGTAAAATATTCTAATGCACAAAATTCTGGAAAACTTTTTGGCTAATGAGATCTCTTGTTTTTACTTTTAACAATATTTTCTGTGATGGACTTTCATTTATCCAGGATAATAAGTAGATCACACTGAACATCTACATCCTCAGAGCTTTCTCTTTTAACAATGATGACATTCACCCTTTTCATAAGGGCATTATTTGTCTGTAAGCATAATTCAAACAAATATTTGCATTTTTCATAACCTTTTAACTTAAAAAAGAAAATCTTTCCACCCAAAAAATCTTTCAACATTAAAAGATCATTGCATTTTGACATGTCAAAAAAAAAAAAGACTTGTCTTACTTTTTGCATTTCTCACAGCTGTACATGTTGTCTCCCTTGAGCTCATCTGCTGAGAAGAAGGCAGACAGGCAGTCCTGCAGGGTGATGGTGGGCCCAATAAACCAACTGGATTTGGGGAGAGAGACATGAGAAAGACGGACATTATCACAAGCATAGTAGCACCATATTCTGTCTACTTTTTCTTTCATTTCTTGTATCTTCTTTTTCTCTCTGGCTCTCTGTCTGTCACTCTTTTGACCCCCACACATCAACATACACACACCTAAGCGAAACTTCTATGCCAACCATTTCATTACTACCTTCTCCGCGGACATTCGTTTTGTTTGTTAGTTTGACTGAGTAAAGAAAAGCACATCGACACAATAATAGTCATTCAGTGCAGGAAAAGAAAGTACAGCAGACAGACAGAAACAACAGAGGGAAAGTAAAAAAGTACGACCTACCAGTGGTGCCCTCCAAACCCCCCCCAGACAAGAACACAGCACTGACCTCTTCATCCACGAGTACATCCAAGCCAGCCAGCCTTGGTGCACCTCCCCACAGGCTCCCCCCTTCGGCGGGGTCACTCCCCCGGTGACCTGGTGATGGCCGGAGTGCAGCATGTGGAGGTGGTCTTTGCTGGGAATCGGGAGGCTCAGGTCTTGGAATGTTTCTTTGGTGGTGGACACCTGAGAAACACACACACATACACCCAAGATATAAAGAATGAGAACACTGAACAAAGACTTGATATCATATCAACCATTGTACACGGTTCTACCAGGACTACCTGCCTGCTCACCCACCTGTGTGAGTTTGAGTAATCACCACATAAAAAATCAGTCATCTAGCTTGAAAATTCATAATATTATGGCCACGGATAGTCTTTTTTCTCCTGGTGTGTCAAGAACTGGAGTTGTAGGTCACGGCTGTTATCAAGCAGAGCACTTAAGTTACTTGAGGAACAGATCTGGTCAGTCATGCTACGTCCTGGTGGTCAAGGAGGTCAATATGACCTTTTCTCAATGAGTGAACCATTGTGACGTAACAATTTTTTATACAGTTTAATAGCACCTAGTGATTTTCCCCCATAAACATATCAAAGAGAAATTATTATCAACTGATAGAGACATTCTAGGACTGCAGCAAATACCTTTTTATTGATATTCATAGCTTGGCACCCTTTAAAACATGGGTGCACTTGAGAGCATCTCTGGGGGGGGGGGGGGGGGGGGAATGATTATGTCATCCCAAGTCATTTAAAATTCTTCCAAACTAAAAAAAAGAATGCTCTTAATGTAGCTCATTCAATATAGATAAAGAAAATGTTTGGTTATACGAGTTTCATTACTGATTGAAGCCTTATCTGAGCTATATGAAAATAGACAAATTTCACATGCACAGGGAAATACACTGACAATTCTAGGGCTAAGAACTGTCAGACCAAATGTAAGATCCAATAATAACAATAATACCACAAAAAAAAGAAGCATTTGTCCCACTCAACAGCAAGCTCTACGCGTTTCATAATCTATATTACTACCCCAGCAGACCTGATAGCATTCAGAAACCATCTCAACTTCCTGGGAAGCATACAGTGCAAGCAGCCATCTTACAGCTGTCTATTGGCGGGTACCCATTCCCACACTGATGAAGTGAGGAAAATTCGTGTAAAGTGCCTCATACCCAAACCGGCAACCTCATGCTTGCGAGTCCAGTAGCCTGACCACAAGAGTACCAATGCCACATCTGTCATATCAGATGTAAGACTTATTAGATCAGATATAGGGCCTATTGGGTACTAGAAAGTATTTAGATCTGAAGAATTACCTACTGCTTCAAAAGTTAAGACCTACCAGAACAAAAAGAAGAGCTTTCTGCCAGATAAGTAAAAATAAAAGTCAATCAGATGACAAACATTTTTCATCATGTGGGGGTAAATAATACTCACCAAACAGCCCAGAGAGGATTGACACCTTGTCCCCCCCCCAAACCCCGAATGAGTTACAGGTACTATGACTTACCGTCTCACAGTTCAGGCACCTCACTGAGCTCAAGATTTTTCCATCAAATGTCTGAGATATGATACTGTCATACTTGATGTTACTAGCTTTTCCTGAAAAAAACCCAAAAAAAACAACAAGACTGAGAAAAAGTCTCTATCAGCTGGAAATAGAATAAGTACTCGTATATTCCTTTCTTCAAAAACAACTATGTCTCCAAAAAGAATCAAAACATTAAAATCAAATTGCTTTCCTTCATTTACTAAAAAAGGAAACTAATAATACACACTTTAACTTTAACAAAACTTGTTAACTTTTCGGGGTATTTTCAAACCCTCAATGCCCCTGCAGGGCAATGCCACTGACTGAAGTGTCTTTAGGCCATTCCCAAAGGGGAATACAAACATGTTTGTATGCACAGTAGAAATGTAAATGGGTTGACTTATCAATGTCATGCTCATACTAAGCCGAAACAATATAGGGGGACCTGCTGCTTTTTCTTTCCTCTTCCCTACTATCATCATTTTCCTCTACTTCTTTTCAATGTTTGTGAACTGGTATTTCCGGGGTGTCTTGATAGTTGAAGCAGACATTTGCAACCGAAAGAGGTTGGGATCGCCTGATTTCAGAGGTAAAACTAGCAAAAAAATGGTCGCAAAAGTTTGGTTATTTTCATAGCTTGAGAGTCTCTGGAAACTATAAATGCACATTTTTTGTGCCTCCAACCAATGTTTTCTAGTGAAATCCACACAGAAATGTGTTTTTTGATAGACATTAAAGGTGCTGAGCTAAAATAAAAAAATAAAATTCTGTAAAAATTGCCAAACCTACGGAAAAATCACAGTTTCTTTCAATTCATTATTTTGACAAGTGCCGGATTTCACCTAGCCACCTCACATATGTTTTTACTAGCTTGCCAGCATTTCCTACAGCAAGACCCAGCACAACTCACTTGTCTTGGACTGTTTCTTCAGAGGGGACTTGGGCATCGACTGCTGTTGTTGTTGAAGGGTAAGGACCGGATACTGTTCCCGCTGCGCCGCGACGGACACAGTCTGCATCTCCCCATCTTTGGTGGGCACACCGGAGAAGGGCATCGGCGGGCTGCCTTGCTCCCGCGAGTCCCCGCCCTCCATGACGGCCTTCCCCCGGGGCCGACGGGCCTGGGTTTCTGCCTCGTTCTTCTTCTCCAGCAGGTTGGCCGTCTCCTTCATTTCCTTTGTGTTCGCCACCTGCAACACATTTTCGCCATAAAGTAAATCTCAACTCAACACCACCACCACCATCCCCTTTCCACAGACACTTTTCCATACACCTGCCATACATTTTCCTTATTAAGTCAACCTCAATTTAATACCACTCACATTTACTGCTCAGAAGTCAGAAATATCAAAGAGCAGATTTTTATATATGAGCGATTCAACATTATGGGAAATGATAAACTCTAAAAGATCTCTATAATTCTGATGCAGTTCAAAACCAAAGAAAGATGAAATTTAACTTTTAGATGGATCCCTAAACAAAATATTTGGGACAAAGAATTCAAATTTTCCAGTTCTCGAATCTGGCTCTAAAGTATCCAGATGCCATTACTCGCTGAGCCACCAGCCACTCACCGAATCTGCATTCTCCACTGCAGCGACTGATCCTCCTGCACTGGCCTTACGCATCCTATCTGACCTCCGCAGCTTACAAGTCTCATTGGAGTCGCTGTTGTTCTCGTCGCTAGAAATGTTGTCGCGCTCTCCATTGGAGCTTCTCTCGCTGCTGAGGCCCGAGTCGCACGTCTCGTAGTCCAACTCCGAGTGGCTGCTCATCGAGTCGAATGATGGCCGTCGATTGGCCTCACCTGGAGCAGTACTTGAACTCTGGGGGGGGCAACCAGACAAGATAGACATGGAGATTGAGAATAGAAGATTTTTTAAAATCACATCTTTGTAAGCTCACTGAAACACATCTATTTTTAGGCATTCATGAAATTAGAGCTTATTAATCACTATTCAATATTCACTATGGTGTGACATGAATAGCTCAAGGGCCCATGACTCTGGAATAACAGCCCAGCGGATGGCTTTGCAAGAAATTACAACAGCATGCAACACAATGAGCTCCTTTTCCTCTATTTAAAGTTCCAAGCATAGTGCCCGACATCATCAATGCCATGAATTTCTCTTCTCATTGGTAGTCAGATTTGGGGACGTTTGGATAATGTATAGAAGATCTCCACACCTTCCGAATAAGGAGAGGCGGAAAATCATGGAGCCATTCTGCAGATTTCAGATTCGCTAAAGATCAATCATCATTCTTCGCTAAAAGCTCGACTGTTGCTGAAGATATTAGAAAAATGTCTTCTTCAGTTAATGCCCCAATTTCTTCCTCGTGTATTGATGTATGATACATATGGCTGGTGTAAAAAAGTGCTATAAATTAAGTGTTCCTGATATTACCCCCAGTCCCTAGCTGGTGCAAGTCTACAACGCTTTTACACAGTCACGCGGGACGTGTGATATTGCTACTTATAAAATCACTAGTTCGCTATTGGTGTTTGAATGGCACAATTGGCGACAACATGCTTTGAAACATTGATCAAGTTTTGTTTCCTCAAAATCGCACAGCACAATCCAATTAAGATCAGGTTACGGGTTTAGTTGATTTAGAAATTATACTTTTACTTGCTTTCCTCCTCACTTGTCAATATACTATTACTAAAATCTTTTTGAGAACAAAATCAATTTTTGTTCTGAAATAAAAGAAAATAAAGCTATCTTATCACACAGTGCCCGTTGCAACATGAGGAAATACAGTTGCACCTGCTCCAATGGCCACCTGTCAAAAACAATCACACGTATAAACGACCACTTCACATTCCCCCCCCCCCCCCCCTTGCAAATTTCCCCCCTTTTTATTATAATCACACTGTCCAAAATGTCCACTTTTCTCCTTGACAATAGCCTCTTGCAAAAACGTTTCAATTCACAGAAGTGCCAGCTGGCTACGAAAACAAAATCCTTAACTTCTTGGATCCTGTGCACAGGGACTCAGAATTTAGAAATAATTTCGTCTAACACATTTTATTTATATACAAAAAGTGCAACAAATTCTTGGCCTTTTGCCTGAGGTGAGCAAGGTCAGCAGGGCAATTTCAGGAATCTGGATTTCCTTGTTCATCAAGAAATTTGGCACTTCTGAATATAAAAAGTGAGGTCTGAATCTTTCAAACTACCGTTGAATCAGCTGATCATAGTGGCACCTTTAGGGCACTGAGCCTAGCACTACTTGGTAACTGAATTTAGGTTTAAAACATTTCGACTCAAGATTATTTTTACATAAAAGTCGACAAATTATCGGCAATAGGCCCGAAGCTGAGCACGGCCTTACTTTTGGTTCAGCGTGGTATCTCGCTGTGTCCTCAACAGGATCACCTGCAGTACTATTGCCGTTGTTGGTGTCGTCATCACAGCCACCGCCACCACCATCATCTCCCTCGTCTTCGCTATCACTGTCGTCGGAGCCCGCTGCAACCTTTAACTCTTCGTGCAGTTGGTCCATCAGGCAGCGCAGAAACTCTTGGGCATCCTGCAGAATATTTCACAACACCACACGCAATGAGTCCATGTGTTGTAAACATTCTTCCTTTTTTTTATTCCATAATCATCAACCATTTCAGTCCATCTTTACCACAAAACTTTCACCTCTCAAAAGCATGGGATTTCATCAGGTAAATAGTTCACCTCTCATTGCAAAACCCTTCGTTTAGACCATTGTGCAATCATGATCAGTGTCTTTAGTGTTCCACACCCTAATAGGTAAAAAAACCACTAAAGTAGGTGGGATGGAATATTATTTCTCTGATACAGACAAAACCATTAAACCAAGGAAGAGGTCGTTAGTACAAAACAAAAGAAATACAAAACAATAGACTCAACAGCCCTGTGCCTTTAAAGTGAAGCAAACACCTTCAAGCTAGTTCTCCTTTAACAACAGACCATTAATCTGCAACTGCTTTTTTTTTCATGTAGGTGTTTTTACATCCCCATCAACATAGTTTAGGTCATTTAGGAGAGAGGCGTCTGAAAGCAACTGAGAGTAAATACAACTGCAAAAGTCAGGCTTGCAACACATCCATGTTTACATACTGTACAAGAGCTTATAACTTTGAAACAAATAAAATAAAAAGCATGACGTCAATAGGTGAGCAAAGTACTGCTGTCAACATAGTAAGGGAGACAGGCAAAGTCGAAATGAAATCAGATATTATGTAATTAAACACACTACATTTAAAAGATACAATTACGGAAAACATGTCTGACAACCATCAAATTTTTCCCCATTCCAATTGGCAGAGAAACGTAGGCCTGACCTGTTGAGTGTACCCTCTGAGAGATCAGATATTGTGTCATAGAACAAATTACTTTAAAAGAAAAAAAAACTGACGGAAACGTATCAGCTGACAACCATCAACATTTTCCCCCATTTGAATGGACAGAGTAAAGTAGGCCTGACCTGCTGAGTGTACCCTCTGAACATGGGATGAACAGCCTTGATCCCCGTCACCACACCGCTGGGCACAACGTAGCTTGGACTGGGGATGAGGTCAACATTGCTACAATGGATGAGGACAATTGTGTCAAGCATATCTCTATCTCTATCCTAGAATTACACAAAGTTCTATCTGGTCAGTACCTAGTTTTGAGAAATCTGACGTAAAAAATTGTGATTTGCACATTTTGTCAAGCCTTTTCGAATGCAAGGATTGGAATATCATGATAACGACTTCAAATAATCTTAGCATCTTGAAAGAGCAGATAAAACATTTAGTTTCCAACATCATGGTCTTAGTAACTCAAAATGGCTAAAAATGTCAGATAAAACTTTGTAATTCTAAGGTAGCGAAACAACGCCAGTGATAAAGCCTATGGGTGGATTGTCACCTTGAAGGTGTCCTTGAGCACGACCTGAACTCCATATCAGCTGTAAATTTATGAAAAAACTGAAATTAAGCAAATTACTTGTGACAACAAACTGAAAGAAACCTTCCTTTATGTCCTGATTCATGAGTAAGATGCTTTACTTGGTATTCATGTCAGTTAAAATATCTGCCCAATCAGCAGCCTAAATTTACACTGCTATGATGTCACAGTGAGTTTAACGGCAAGCATTCCTAAGTCTGGAGGAAATGGCGTCGATGCTCCTTTTTTAACAGTGCAATCGTCTTACGGGGAATTTCACAAGATAGCTTCTCATGTTATAAAGATTAACCTATCTGCAAAGGTGGAAGTGTAATCCAAACTACGATCGAATAAGCACTTTTCTCCTGCATGTAATTGACGTGCCATACATAGGGCTGACACAAAAAAAACCCAGGGCAATAAATTAATATGAGCCCGGGGTCATCCTCAGCTGCTGTGAGTCTGCCGCATTATCGCACCGCCCGGCGTGGGGAGCATGGCACTGGTAATCAGTATCACAGAGACACATACCGTTTCTTGTGCCACAATTCAGTCATGAGCTTCAAGTAACTTCTGGAGAGCATTGGAGCCTTTTCAGGTCTGATCAACTGAGCACAGTCCAGAAAGTACTGGGTCAATGGTGGACTGGAAACAAAATGCAAAGACACTAGCATTATGATCACCTAAAAGAAATTTGTTGACGGCCAAAATGAGAAATTAAGAGGCAAAATACAACAAAATTTTTAACTTTATATCAGACTTTCATCATTTTTGTTCATCAGTCGAAACATTAGCATTATTTCTATTTTCTCCAAAATATTTGAGTTATAAATTGTTAAAGTTATGGAGGTAACCTAATTTCATGCTTAATTTTCTTTGAACAAAATCAGGCACCCAAAAGCTAAAAAAAAATCTGGATAAATAAGAAGAAAAAAACCCAGTTACCAGTTTGAGAGGCTCTGCACAGCTGAATTCAAATAACAGGTGTTTCCCAGGTTCTGCAAACCAGTCAAGCCTAAAGAGGACAAAGTCAGGTGAATAGTTGTAAAACACGTAGAGCATATAATGTACGCTAAATAAATGCAATAATTATTTTCATTAGATTACATCCTGTGTATCTCAAACGATGTCAAACCAGCTTCCATGAGACTAAAGTACTGGAGAAAGAAAGATAAGGACCAAATAATGTGGAGAAGAGAGTAGATATTATAATTCATACATTGGTAGTGGGTAATCTATGTAATAAAAATGATCCCATTTGTTAATCATAAGTTACATCCGATTATAAGAGAGTTCCGTTATAACAGGGACATCACATTGGACATCGGTCCCAGTAGTCATGTTATAGCCAGGGCCCTACTGTAACTGTATTGCAGTCCAAGTTTTTAATTAAATAGAAAAACTTGCTGGAATCCGCCATAAAATCATGTGTATCTCCATTGTACACAAAACACATCACAGAGTCTTGTCTATGAAGTGCAAACTTCAGTAAGTTTTCTTAAAAAATAAAAGGCTTTTATTGACAACTTATCAACTGAACTTTTAAAAAAAAGTGAACCTATTACAAACATAACTATAATGATTAATTATCATATTCTTCAACAGTCGTACAAAAACACAGCATACCTCTTGGTCTATTCTGCTCATTTTCGAAATCTGAGTCGGATTCATCCCCAGATATGCTCCGCTGCGGCGTACTGCAGCCAGATCCATCTGCAGCTGCCATCTTGGTAAAACTAAATCAGCAGTCTCTTCTTGAACCTGACAGAGAAGAGAAATTCTTCATTAGCACACACCCTGCACAATGGCCTCAGTGAAATTATGAACTATTATGATTTCATGTGAATACTGTAAATGTGCTACTTAACACGTTCTTTTGCAGCAATGTAAAATAAAACAAATGGTAAAGTTCCATAGATATATAGAAATGAGCCTGAGCCAGAACCACAGCATTTTACATTATGTGATGCAGTATTGTTTTGTACTCCTTTTTATAGAAAACAGATTTATATCTGATTGTGGCATATATATATATATATGCATATATATATATATATGAGTTGTTAATATAATGCAGTAGCAGCACAAGCGAAAGTTTTTTGCGTTATGTATGATTTATATCTAAGAAATGATAAAATAAAGCGATTTTGCTGCTATTTTTGCTCATTTCAATACATCACATGAAAACAGCATTGCAATTACTTCCAAACGCACATTTTTGTGTGGAGTCTTCAAAACTTTACTGGTACTGAGGGTAAGTCTAAAGACATCGTATTTCAGGCATACATGTAAATATTTTATCAAGCTTCACAATTTTTATCTTTAGGTGTCTGACGTGCATAACTGTTGTCGTCATACAGAATTGTACATTTTGACACCTAGACAAGCTTTGAGCAATAAAACTCGATTACTAGAGCTGAAATCGCACAAGGGGTTTCCTCTTGAAGACAAAAGAAGTAACATTTGTACGATGGGGTGATTTCCGGAAACGTCCATTAACCAATCCCAAATTTGTCATCGTGTTATGCACATAAGATGACAAAGTTAAAGTGCACTTTGTCGTACGTGACTGGTATTTTTGGCCTGGACTAGTAAAAAAAAAAGTTCCTATCACCTCATTCAGGCATTGCTTTTGCATTTTAGCAAATGAGAAAGATAAAAAATGAAAATATCTCTTTGTCATCAGAGTTATGAACGTCTGGTGGTTGCGTGGGTGTAGGGAGTGACTGGAATGCAAAATGCAGCCTGATGTGGAGTTGTAAAGTTCATGCAATAATCGGCAAGTAAAGGGATTAATCTTGTCAAAATCACATTTTTTGTGTGTAACAGCAAAGTACCAAACTTCTACACTACTGACATGGGAATTCCAAGATGTGCTGGGACAATATTTGTTTTAGTGAAGAGCATTACAAAGCGATTTGTGCTGCAGAAAATGTCAGAGACCATAAATTCAGTCATTCCTCTTCTTTCATAAATGCCTAGAGCAATGTCAATTAAAACTAAAAAGAATAACTTCCAAAGATTCTTGTTCAAATATTCTCTTCTTACGCTCATAACTATGATGACAAAAAATGTCATCATACTTATGCACAGAAATTTTTTTTACTCTTATCTCTATATATCATATTTGTGAAAGTTTGTCACTCTGGCCGCCTAAAACTTCGGAACCACTTAACTTTCGAATTTGACAAAATTAATGGTTGTTCAGAATCATTTAAAAGGGTGCACAGTTTTATTGAGGAACCTGAAGTCACTGTAGTTTAATATTCAGTTTTTCATTAGTTTCGTTTAGATCTAATCTAGGGAAAGTCTGTCTTCTAAGACGCTGTTGTAAACAAGTGAGGTTTCCATTCACTGGCCATGCACACTGTTTCCACACCTTTGAAATTTTGGAGTGTACAACCACGAAAGCGGAAGAGAGAATCAATCTATACATCTATTATATATTTTTCGCAACTTGGAAACACATTTGACTCATTTGTCACTTTCCCCATAAAACTACGACAGCTACAGAGTTGAAAGTTGGCAAGTACCTGCAAAAAGATAGATAGGTCCCCATGACGGAGCTCGAGTTTTGATAATCTTCGTAGTGGTCCTCCACAGCGGAATTGTCGGAAGTGATATGTCACAGGCGCATTTTGTTTTGAGAGCATAGATCTAGACTTTCTAATTTTTTGCATCTCTCAAGATTTATTGCTCCATTCCAGTTGAGAGTAAATATAGTACGCCAATGATTTTCAGTTGGTGTTAATACACCGCTCATTCCTTTCATTGAAAGGGGGCCCAGCTAGTTTGATATAATTCTCAAGAAACTACTATCCTCATAATCTTAACATGTCAATTTTCAACTAAATATAGACAGACATTATACAAATTGGTATCACAACAGTGGTGCTTCAAAAGAAAAGTTGGAAAAGAGAACTGTCTTGGTCAGGCTATCCCACGTGCATAACTATGATGACGTGTTACATCAAATATGACAAAATCGGATGGGAATTTTCTTTTTCTTTTTTAAAGGCTTGATAAAATAGTAGAGACACCAATTTTAAAACAGATGGGGTTGTTCAAATTTAACCACTATTAGAGATTTCCTATCATCATAGTTATGCACGTCAGAATCTCAAAGTGACGATCAAACACCTAAAACATGTGTCACGACGCAATGGAATCGGGTGCACGTCAATTTTGGGCATACGGAGTTATTGGTACCATCTTAAAGGTTATTTATATGCCTTGCTTTTGATTTTTTTAAAATATCCATTTATATTGAATGGAAGTCGGGATATTTGCAGTTGAAGGATGTGGGGACGCCAGATTTCAGAAGCAAAATTACAGAGAACATGGCCTCCAAAGTTTGGTGACTTCCATAGTTTGAGAGTCCTTGGATTTTGCAAATTTACATTTTTTGTGCCTTCAATCAACGTTTCTCCACAAAATCCAACAATGTAAGTGTTTTTGAATGGACATACAAGATGTTGAGCCCCCCAAAAATTTGAAAAGTAAGTGTCCAAACTTGCCGAAAAAATGCAGATTTCTCGGATTTCATTATTTTCACGAGTGCCTGATTTCATGGCATTAAAACGGAAATTAAGTAGTTTTTAATTTTTTACCTCTGTGACATGTTTAATGGTACCAGGTTCTGGCACAGGCTCAAATACAAAAGAATCAAGAGCCCTATATATATATATCAAATACAAACTCTTTATGGCACTATCAAATCTGTAACAGCTCATCTCGTTTGAGAAACACTTTCCAATAGGAAACTATTCACGAAGGTAGGTAAATGGATTGTAATGCACATATGCACTGTCACTGTTTTGAAAAGGATATTAATTGAAAATCAAACAACACTTGTTTTCACTGTACTGACTAGTGACAATTTACTTATTTCTTCAAGAACAATAACATGTAAATGTAGTACAAGTACAAGGATTTGAATTTTGATCGAAAAGTCAAGCGCCGCCTGATATTTTTTGAGAGATCAAGGTCAGATAATATCAGATCATTTGGGAGAGGTGAGGTGAGACACCAAATTTTCTGTGGCGCAGGATGGAGGGGGTGTGGGTATTTTTTCGACACGAGCTAAAAGAGCGTGCCGTGATACATGTACTAATTGAGGATAAAGGAATAAGAAAAAAATTAAACGAACAACTTTGGCGCATTTTTTTTTTCGGGGGGTGTGTGTGTGTGTGTGTTGAGTGTGTTGCATTATTTGGGTTCACAGTTGTCTATGAGGAAACAAGACGGGTCTGTTCCATTATTTGGGTTCAAATTTTTACGTGAACCTGGATACAAATAAATACGACACGAAAGCGTGGAAAAAATGAAGAAGTCAAACTGGGGGAAATCATGTTTAGACATAGATCTAGATCTAGATAAAAGTAGTCCCAGTCTGCTGGTCTGGTATTCTTCAATCTTACCCTAGGTTAGACTCTACTAGAGTTTAGATCTTGATTCATATTATGAACTGACAGACTAAAATTATTGCTCAAACTCAAAGAAGAGCATTGAATGGCTAAACTAGACCCATGCACTGTGAGAGTTGTGTAACAACTGTGAGAGGGCAAGATGCAGTGACACTGAAAATCTGCCAGTCTTGAACCGAAAGCTACAACAAACACTGTAGGTATAATTTACTATGACCCATCCAATGAAACGCGAACACTTTATTTCAATAACACAGACTTGCAAAGAATGAAGGGTCCCGATTCCGCACACGGCCTGCACCAACGCGCACTTTGCAGAAAGCTCTAATTAAAATTCTGAAATTTGCTTCCAAATTTTTGTCCTCTGGTGTTGCCTCCCCCCGGAGTGTATATTAAAAAAAAAATCAATAATCCCCTCCCCAATTCCGTAGTCCTATATTTTGCAACGCAGTTACTCTCACCAAAGACAGTCTTTGCTCACACGATGCAGCATTTATTTATGATGCGAATGCGCGCAGGTTCATTGACCAGTCACGATGGCGAGCCAGACAATCTAAAAATCGGACGACGCTTGTATTTTATTTTCTTTCTTTCCCCCACGTGACAACACAGAGACGAGTCCGAGTGTTGATTAAATTTCATTTGCACCTCAACACAGCGTTTTTACTGCACAACCTGCATGTCACAAGTGTTGAGTTATCAGACTACCGCTGGCAAACTTCTTGGTGGTAACGAAAGCGAAAGTAGATCTTGATTTTCCCTATCGAGCATCAGTGTCACATACACTTCCGCCTGCTGCCATAGCCGCCTGTTCGCGTGAAACATACTCTCGGACGGGGGGAAAAGGTGAACATATATATAAATCACAATTGCGACCGGCAAAAATGAAGTTAGTGACCTTATCGGACTTGGTTTTCAAATATTCTAGTTCCGTGATACTGATACTATTTTGACAAAGATGGGACTTGAGATAATTAGGATTTCTCGCCCAAGCTGAATCTCATATTTCTCGCATTCCAGGATGCGTATTTTTTCATAAAAAGTCGTATTCGCGTATTTTCTGCAAAAAATCGTACTAAAATACGTACTGGTTGGCATCTCTGGCCTTGTGTATTTTAAACCTGAATAATTACTAGATCTAAATCTAATGAGACCTGTGTACTCAACATGTTTGAGTCGATACGGCCAAACCTAGATCTAAGTACGGCTAGACTCTTAAGTACGGCTAGACTTTCAGGCTCGGCTAGCCACTTCATTTAAAAAATGAAACAATAACAATCCCTGCGGAAGCCTAGAAAAATCAGCCAGCGCTCTGGGGCAGGTCATGAACTTTTTACAATTCACAAATTATTTTGAATCTTCCGTTCTCAACACCCAGGTAGGCCTAAGAAAAAAAATTCATTGCATTCTCAGACCGGGTGAGAATGTGAGAATAAAATTATATTTTTATTTTCACCGCAGGTGAGAATAACGACAGCCTCAAACGAGACGGTGCCACTCGGTTAAGCAGTATTTTCTGTCCGTTAGGGCTGGGTCACGAGTGCGAGAACGGAACTGAATTGCCACTCTTGCCTGTGGAACGCGATTCACGATTCACTTCAGCGGAATGCGGAACAGTATCGCCAAACGATTCCCGATTCACTCCCCTGTCGCTGTCACCACCTTGTGGCTTGTTTAACCTACTGCTGAGTCAAGTCACGAGCGCAAGAATGGAACGGAACACTTAGTATGGCTCTCCTTATTTTACAAAAGATGGTGTAGTCCAACTCAACTATTACAACAAAATGAACGGGGTCCAACCAATACACAGAGAAAGAATTTTATGGAGCCACTGTTTTAGCGAATCATGGGGTTGGTGGGGGGGGGGGGGGGGGGTGAATTTATGGGGGTCACTAATTGAGGTCAGTAGATAGGGCAGCGCAACAAAGGGTGTGGGGCGGAGAGAATGGCGGAACAACAAGAGTTGGACTCGCGCTCGCCAAGTGGCGTTGATATAACACTGTTCCATTTCAGTCAGTGTTCCGCCACAGTTCCACGAGTGCTCGCGTACTCGCGATTCTCGCAAGATCTACTCCTCCCCTCTCTCTCTCTGTCTCTTTCTGAATACTGTCTATCGGTGTGGACGATCAAATTGACCAAAACAAAGTTAAAAAATGATGTTAAAACACAAAAGTAAATTAATTTGGGTAAATTTTTACTTTCACTCCCGCACACAGATGCACTGTTTCAGGGGTCAAACTGCTGTACTGTTTGCTGCAGATCACACATAAAGCCACTAAATCTGTCGCAAATCAATTATTTTCAAGACAATTTTAAATCTAACTGTAAAATATCAAATTATGGGTGTAAAAACAGGGGGGCATGCCCCCCTGTAACCCCCCAGATTTTCTTTTACCCCAGTGGGGCAGGCCCCCCTGGAACCCCCCGATTGGTCCAAAGCATGTCTATCTCGGTTAAAAACAATCAAATATTTCAAAAACGATTAATTTGCGACGGAAATGAAGTTGATATTCGTGTTCAGCGCATCAATATTTAGTAGAAAATAGACAACTGGTAGCTGAGTGTGAGACGGGGGGGGAAAGTAAAAAAATACCTTAATTTGGTTGTCTATAAAGATGCTACGGCTATTTAACTTTTCGAATCGAGCCGAACTACGCGGGTCGCCATTTTGTTTTGACCGGAAGTTCTCGCGCTACTCCTCTCTCTCTCTCTTTCTTTCTCTCTCTCTCCACTGCCCACAGACAAAATTGTACGCTTTTAGTAGGCTACAGTTGTAATGGAACGTTTGTTCACGGCACAGAATTCTACAATTTTTCTGTTATCACAGTGTAGAATTCTGTGGTTTAGGGTGAACGCAAAATTTGTTGGCCTAGATCTAGGCTATAACGGTGAACGGGTGAGAATAGCCAAAAGACTCGCCTGCACTATTCTCACTAGTCTAGATCTAGAGGTGGCCCTAGACATCTAGATTTAGATCTAGTTTAGTCACATAGAGTGTCACTCTATCTAACTAAGCTAGATATCTATATTAGATCTGGATCTTGCTAGATCTAGACTAGACTACTAGATTCTAGATCTAGATTAGAGATCTAGAGTCAAGACTACTCTAGAGGCGAGGAAGGAAAGCCAGGCGCCAGGTCTTACTCACTGAACGATTTGTCCGTCCACTGGGCACAACCTAACATTACCATTGGTCTCATGAAGTGAGGTGCAATAATAACAAACCTCAGCAGAAATATCTCAGACCGGTACGTGTCTCTTGCTTGGCTGATCTCGAAAATAGAATCTAGACTAGATAGATCTAGCCTACCTGAGAAAGCAATCAGCAGCATGAAGGAAGAATGAGACGATGTTTTCTGTTACTGCTGGCTAGACTTCCGGACAGGTACGCACAGAATGACTACGCCAGGTCCAACAACTCGTGGATAGGGAAGTGTTTGAGTCAATTAAGAATACTATCCCCTTGATCGTTAGAATTTTAGAATCTTGGCTCAATGATACGGTCTCTGGGTAGGCCTTTGGAGTAACTATATAATTACTCCAAGGGTATGCCCCTCTCTAGGCCTTCTCAGCATCAGTCCTAATATCCCGCACGATTGGCCTCGGCATTGGAAGTGTCTGTCTGTCTGTCTGCCTGTGTGTGTGTCTGTCTGTCTGTCTGTCTGTCTGTCTGTCTGTCAGTCTGTCTGTCTCCCTCTCTCTCTCTCTCTCTCT